TGCTTGAGAGGGGTTACAAAATTCGCTTGAAAGACAAAATCTTGCGTGTTATGGATGTAAATGGTGTTTTGATCCTTGAGGCTCCTATAGCTGCCAATAGGACTTTGAAAGTGGATTTGAAAGTGATGGAGCATAATTTTTTAGCTACAATGGTAAGTCAAGAAGAGTGGTTATGGCACTACCGTCTTGTACATCTCAACTTTCGTAATATTGATGCGTTACAAAGGGATGGTATGGTAACCGGGTTGCCAAGAATTAACATTCCGGCTAAGATATATGAATAGTGTGTGCAAGGGAAGATGCACAAGAGTAATTTCAGCAAGGATGTAGGTCATAGGACCAAACATCACCTTGAAATGGTGTACTCCGATATGTGCGGTCCAATGCAAGTCGATTCATATGGTGGAAATAGGTACTTTATCACATTTATCGACGATTCTAGTAGAAAACTATAGATATACCTAATCAATAGGAAGGATGAGGTATTTAATGTGTTTAAATGATTCAAGTCCATGGTTGAGCGTTAATGTGGTCACAAGCTCAAAATTCTCAAAACGGATGGTGGAGGTGAGTATACCTCGAATGAGTTTGGGAAGTATTATGATGAAGAGGGGATAGTATGTGAGATTGTGCCGCCCTATACGCAACAACAAAATGGTATTGCCGAGAGGAAAAATCATTTGATAATGAACATGGTTCGAAGCATGATAAAGGGTAAAGACTTGCCAAAGGAACTATGGGGTGAAACCATTTCTACAGCCGCCTATTTGTTAAATAGGTGCCCTACGAATAAGCTTGATAAGATGACTCAATAAGAGGTGTGTTCTGGATTTAAACCAAGCTTAAGCCATTTGAAAATTTTCGGTTTGATAGCATTTCAACACGTTTCAGGTTAGCTCCGAAAGAGGTTAGACGACAAGGGTGAGATGATGTTACTCGTTGGTTATCATCCTACTGGAGGTTATAAGTTATTTTATGTTGCAAACAAGAGGATCGTAATTAGCCAAGATTTTATGGTCGATAATCTACGAAAGTTTGATAGCAGCAAAAAAATTACTAATGCAGGCCCCATAACGGGTTACGCTAAAAGCTATAACAGGTTACGCTAAAAGCTGTAACAGGTTACCATGTGAATTTTTGGGTTATGAAGCTGCTGGAACTGGTTTTGCAGAAGGCATAACAAATTAGGAGAATCCTGTAACTAGTTACAGGCTGGAAAATCAGAATTTTCAAAATCTTGGAGGTGCAGAACAACAACATGTCGAAGCCAAAAACAGAGGAAATAGTATATGACCAACAAGGTAAAAAGTTTTACCTCAGTGACTTCGAGAATGTGAAATATTTCGGGATAACAAAATCAATGATGATAGTGATTTCATTCACTTTACGCTTATGGCCAAATCTGAACCGTTGAACACGGAATAGGCTCTAAGCGATCCAAAGTGGATTTATGCAATGAAGAAGGAGTTGGAATCTATTGGAAAAAAAAGGTACTTAGGAGTTGGTCGATTTATCGCTTAGAAAGAAGCCAATTGGTGTGTGATGGTCTATAAAGTGAAGGCAAATCCCAAATGCGAGGTGATCAAGCATAAGGCTCGATTGGTAGTGAAGGAATTTTTGCAATGTGAAGGTATAAACTTTGAGGAATTTTTTGCACCCGTGAATAGGCTTGAAACCATCTGATTAGTTTTTGGCATTACGAATAACAAAAATTGGGCGATATATCAAATGGACGTCAAATCTGCATTTTTGAATGGTGAAAAGGTGTAAGTTAAGCAGCCTCTTAGATTTGTAGTAAAGAATCAATAGATGAAGTTCTACAAATTACATAAAGCTTTATATGGTTTGAAACAAGATCCAAGAGCTTGGAACAACCACTTTGATGGCTTTCTTATTGATATTGGTTTCAAACAGTGTGCGTTCGAACACGGAGTTTATGTGAGATCGAATGCAACTAATGGTGTGATCACTCTTTGCTTATATGTGAATGATATATTAATTACCTAAAGATGTGAGAATAATATCTCTAAGTTCAATAGTGAACTTATGGATGAGTTTTATATGACGTATTTCCTTGGCATATAGTTGCATAAGTAAAAAATAAGACTGGTCATGCATCAAAAGAGATATGCTTTTGATATCTTGAAGAGGTGTGAGATGGAGCATTGCAATGCTGCCATTACACCATGTGAGGCAAGGTTGCAGTTGGCCAAGAGTAAGGATAAGCAGGATGTAGATCCAACGCAATATAGGAGATTGATTGGATCATTGCGGTACTTGTGCTATACGCGACCGAACTTGGCATTTAATGTCGGTATTGCTAGTAGATTCATGGAGAGACTGAAGGTATATCACTTGGCAGCAGTTAAGAGAATACTTGGATACATTAAAGGAACTCTTGGTTATGTAATTCTCTTTTCCGCTTTGGATACAGGTCGAAAATGTGATTTACTTGGTTTCACCGATTCCAATTGGTATGGTGATAAGGATGATAGAAATTCAATGGCTGGATGCATCTTTATGCTTGGTAGGACACCAATCTTTTGATGTTCAAATAAGGAACCGGTGGTAGCACTCTCGTCTTGTGAGACCGAGTACATTGTGAATTCGTTGTATACGTGTCAAGTTATGTGGCTCATGAATCTATTGAAGGAGTTGGGTAGCAATGAGGGTGAGGCTATTATACTTTTGGTTGATAATGTTTGGCAAAATATCCATTTTGGTCTCATATCTTAACCTCGGGGTTCATTTTGGTCCCTTAAATTTAAAAAGGTCTATATTAGTCCCTTAACTATTCAAAATGTTCCATATTAGTCCTTTTTGTCCTATTAGCAACGGAAAAATTCAAAAATCAGTCGTTAAATTCGTCGCTAATTAGACAAAAAGGACTAATTGGGAACATTTTGAAGAATTAAGGGACCAATATGAAACTTTTTAAATTTAAGGGACTAAAATAAACTCTGAAGTTAAGATACGAGACCAAAAAGAGTATTTTGCCATAATGTTTATGCAATAAACCTTGCGAAGAATCTGATTGCACATGGAAGAAGCAAGCATATAGAGATGGGGTTTCATTATTTAAGGGAGCTAGTGAGTGAAGGCAAGTTACGATTGGGATATTGTCGAAGTGAAGACCAAGTTGCAGATTTGTTGACCAAGGGGGTAACAAATGAGGTGTTCAAAAGGTTGAAGAAAAACTTGAGCATGTTGGACTTGGAACAATTGAAATGAGGTGGTGTGTTGAAAACCAGTTTTTGACATTTCAGTTATGGTAACGAGTTACAGGTTTTTGGCGTAGCGGGTTACAGAGTTAAAAAAGCTGAAGGATTGCTTGTATCGGGCTCGTAATCAGTTATGACATTTTGCGTAACCGGTTACGAAGGCATATTTTGTTTTTTTTTTCAGTTTTCGTTAGTTTCAGCTTATTTTGTTATTTCCAATCATTTTGCACTTGTTGTATATAAGACCTTGTAAGCTCCCATTTGTGGTTAATATCAATTATTCTTCTTACCCTCAATTACTCCCTCTCTCTCTCTCTCTCTCTCTCTCTCTCTCTCTCTCTCTCTCTCTCTCTCTCTCTCTCTCTCTCTCTCTCTCTCTCTCTCTCTCTCTCTCTCTCTCTCTCTCTCTCTCTCTCTCTCTCTATATATATATATATATATATATATATATATATATATATATATATATATATATATATATATATATATATATATATATATATATATATATATATATATATATATTTCTCTCTCAATTTCTTAACTTCATCTTCTCCAAATTAACTAAATTCTCCATTAATTCACCTTTAGAGATATTGTATGTTCTAACACTCAGTTGGATCCTGAGCGATGTTGCATTTGATTACAAATTTTACTAATTAACATACTAAGTGGAGAAGAGGGTTTGGAACGAGTCTCATTAAAAAAACACAAATTCAAAATGCTATTGTACTAAAACCCGATAATTGATCAAGGTTATGGCTACAACTGTTTGAGTTTCTAGGTTAGAGAGAATTGAAATATGGCCGATTGATAACCAATAAAAATTAGTTTTTGTTTCTTACCCTAATACTCTTAATTATTATTATTTTGGTTTTTTCTTCTTTTTATTTTTATTTTGTTCACTTTTTATTTAATTTTCTTGAATTTGTGATATAGTTTGCTCATTTTTTCTTATTTTTGTTTTTAAGAGCGTGTCTCACTATTAAAGTATTTAATGTCATTATCTTTTTTGTATAATTAGGATTATAAGTTATTATTAAATTGAATAGAAAAAGAAATTTAAGATATGAGGTGATCGTGGCTACAAAATAATGACAATCATATAAATTAATGATTCATTGTGATAATATATTTTTCATAACATTATATATGTTTATTTTTTTAACATATAAATTAATGTTTTCTTTATTATGATTGAAATATTCTAAAAATACATACTCGATATTTTTTCAACTCATCTTTTACTAAATGTATCGTACAATTTGAATATTAGTTTTGACACTAAGGAGGATGGAGGGTGGAGTTCGTATTGGGCAATGACTTGCCATTCTCTTTGGTTTTGGCATAACTAGGAGGAGCATAACAAGGAATTTGTGAGGCCTTTAAACACTAGTTCGCTTGTGGCGGTGAGGTTGAAGGAGTATGAGGATGCCTTGTTAATGAATAAGAGGGTGGCTGGGAGGAACAAGGAGGTTATGCTCGTTAAGTTGATTCCTCCTAGCCCATGTATAATGAAATTACATGTAGATGATGCCTGCATAGAAGGTGTTGCTGCAGGATATGTGGGAATTGTCAAAGATGGCAATGGGTATTGGTTAGGAGTTTTTCTAAGAATATTGGCATTTGCAGTAGCTACATGGTGAAGTTGTGGGGTTTGCTAAAAGCTTGATTCTAGTTTTAGACCTTGGATTCAGAAGGTTAGAAGTGAATGTAGATTCTTCTAAAATTATGTTGGATATTAATCATGGGAGATCTATGAGAATTGAAGGTGTGGAAATGCTCAAGATTGGGAGCCTTCTGAGTAGGTTTGAGAAAGCCTACGTTAAGCACGTGTTTAGAGAATCTAACCGGTGTGCGAATGCTCTTGCTAAATCTGGGTGTCGAATAAATAGGGATACATATCATTATCTTGTTGCTCCTAACTTTATTGAGGAGTTGTTAGTTGAGGATATTGGAGGAGGTTTCTCCTCTAGGGAGGTGTTCTTGTAGTTTTTGTCTCTTTGGGATGTTGGCCCTCTCAATTACCAAAAATAAGTATCGTATGTTTGTTCGATTTGACAATCGATTAAGTGAAAAGCTTTTAGTGAGAAAATAGGAATATGTGATACCAACGTGACATGTGTACATTTTGGTATGACATTGGTATCTTTAGTGTAAATAAATTTAAAATTTTAATTTATTTTAAAATAAAATAATATTAAAACATGACATTGAATATCATTGTTTCATTTGATTTGATGAAGACATCGAAATCCGACTAAATTCAAATGTACTAAAATATTTATCTTATTAAAACTAACGTCCAAACAAGCACTCTCGTATCCTTTGTCCGCTTTGTGTGCACTAAAAAAAGAGACGGACGAGAGAGTGCATATTATGAAGTTTATTACATAAATAATTTAAATTAAAATCAAAATTAAATAAAAAAATATTATTTAATTTCTAATAAATTTATATAAAAACTATATTATACCGTTCAAACGCTAGTATTTATATAAAAAAAACTATATTTGTTATTTTCTAATAAATTTTATATATTTTCCTATATTTATAAACTAATGAATCTTTTGAGGTTTATTGAGTAAACACCGACTATTATTATTAACTCAACAATGATCATATAATTCTCTAATACTTTGTATGTGTTTGAAATAGCGTTTTACATACAACTTCTTGTATGTCAAGGTTGAAAAATGTAAAAACATTGTAAAAGCTTCAATTTGGAGCATTATACGAAACACATATTTGTTTCCTTTTACGCAAAAACAAAAAGGTCACTCATAAGGTAAAGAATTCTAAATAAGAATGAATTTTTCACTTTACATGGATCATAATCAAATCCAACTAAAAGCGATAACAATAAAAAAAGAGTAAGTAGTAAATTCAACACAAATGATGTGGTTTGTATGACACTACCTAATAAATGGTCATTGTATCATTATTTCTAGTCGTTTTTATTTAGTATTTTTACCGCATTTTGTTTGATTTACTTTCATTTGTCATGTTTTATACTTTGGTCTGTGTTTTCTTGTTAACTTCAGAGTCTAATAAGCATCCAAGACAAAGAGGGATCGAAGACACGCAAAACAGTAAATTGGCATTTTCTCTCATACAAAAACTAGGGAGGCGAGAGAAAGTTGAAGATTTGTTTTTAGTAGTGGAGACTTTCCAGCAGTAGAGACTAGGCCCTGCTACAGGACGTAGCAAGGAGGCGAGAGAAAGTTGAAGATTTTTTTTGCTTCCTTAATTAGAATGATCTTCTCTTAATTGTGGCTTTTAGGTATTATTGGATCTGTATAAAAGATGAATATTTCACATTGAACCAAAGATAATTGACACTTTTATTATTTTACTATAAAACTCATAACATGTTATGAGTTTAGGGTTCCCAACTTCTATCACTCTTCATTCCTAGTTTCTAAGTTTCTTTTGTTTTACTTTTCTTTGTAACTCAAGTCTCCAATGAAGCAATTTGTGGAGCAAGATTTATTCATAATTCATGTTTTATAATTAATTCTCTTTATATTATTGATCTGTTATGTTTTATTGATATGAGTTTGTGAAGGTGAGAAATAAACACAAGAAAGGGGGATTGAATTGGGTTTATGCCTAAATAAAACTTTTTCCTTTTCTTATCTTCTTCTTTCACTTGATGCTTTATGCGCTTATATTAAATACATTGCGGAAGCATAAATAATAAAGCATACTGAAAGTAAAGAACACATCATATATCCTGGTTCACTTGAGCAACTCCCAAGCTAATCCAGTCCATCCTTCCAAGGTGATTTCGCCTTAATCAATTAAGGACTTAATCCACTATAACCGAACTGATTACAGATGCACAAGCTAACTGCAAGTGACTAACAACAGATAAATGAAACGTTCAGGGCTCCCCAAGGATATAACGTTCATTAACATCTAATAGAATCCGATCACTAAAGATCTCCTATTAGAAAACCACAAATGACTACTGTTATTTGTGATCTCAAGTATACTGATCTTCACAAGATCACTTGAGGAACCACTAATTCTAAAATAGAATGTTGTGTTGCTGGAGATTACAATGGTGCTTCCTAGCAAGCTAATTACTCCAAGTTAAGCACATAGCAAGTAATGAGTAACAACTCCTTGCTTCCTAATGCAGAAACTAATCTAATGATGAATCTCTAAGAGATTATAAGAACATAGTTTCCATATTGCTTAAAAGCTTTTCTGTGTGTGAGCACTAATGCTTCTTTTCATTTAAGGTTTTCTTCTTTCTTTCTTTCTTCACTTCATGCTTACTAGCATGGTAACATTTGAATGAATCAAATGTTATTTCTTATAGTGCAGCTTAACAACAACAGTGTTTCTTGACTCAGCCACTCAACAACATTTTTGATCAAATGATTATTCTTTTTATATTGCAGCTAATAGAGTTGTTGTGAGGATATAGTTGTCCTTTCTCATTCCAACGGTCATATCCCAACGGATAGAATAAGCTCATGTGTTGGAACAATGACCTTAGCTTGTAGCTTCAATATATTTAATCCTTGGAAACTACGCTTGAACAGTACCAACGTATTTACCACATTTGAATAATTGCATAGGTTGTACTTCAATCTTCTTGATTCTTTTGATGATTCGTCTGATGAGTAGTTCAGAACTACTTTGGTATGAAAGCTTCAGCATCAGAGTTGTTAACTCAAGCATATGTTTATCATATTGAACAATAGCAACTTATCTGATGTAACACGTCTTGCATCTGGATGAATCTTCTTCTGACACAATCTTCCACTTCAGAATCCAGTCTTCAGTATTCCAAGAACTAAGTTTCCTCTGAAACAATCTTGAGAATCTTCATGACTAATTCTTCAGAAACCATGTCTTCAGAATCTTCAGAGCCTTGACCTTCAGAACACTTCTTCAGAGGCTTGACCTTTAGAACACTTCTTCAGAGTCTTGTCCTTCAGAACCTGTCTTCAGAGTCTTGACCTTCAGAACCTGTCTTCAGAGTCTTGACCTTCAGAATCAGTCTTCAGAGTCTTGACGCACTTGGTCTTCAGAGCCTTCAGCCTTCAGAACTTCAAGTCATCAGAGTCTTCAGCACTTTGTTCTTCAGAGGACTCACTCTTCAGAGATGCTCGTTAGCTTCCATATCAGATGCATAACTCAGAGCAGAATCTATAGATGCATTGCAACTGCAATATCCAACATCCTTGATTCTTTACTGAACATGATCAGATGTAGAAGCAAACTTGCTTCTACACTGAGCTTCATTTGCTTTCAGATCAGATGCACTTCTTCAGAGCAGAAACCACAGGAGCATTGCAACTGCAATATCCAACACCCTTGGTTCTTTACTGATGGTGATCAGATACGTAAGCAAACTAGCTTCTCACAAGCGCTTCATGACGTCTCACTAAGTAATTCCATAAGTTACTAGCTGCATACGTTGCTTATGTTTGTTTGGTCTAATATATTTAATTTTAATATGACCTGCACATAACAAACATTAAACCATAAAATGGTTCTTTCACAAATACTCAATTGTTATCATCAAAACATAGAGATTATCCTGTAGAGACAAATCTTGCTCTTACAATCTCCCCATTTTTGATGATGACAAAAACATGTATTTTGATAAAACATTTTATACAGGGTAATCACCAAACATTAACCTATTCAGAGTTCTAAGCAACTGCTCCCCCTGAATGTGTTAACCTTTAAAACATTTTTATGCTTGTTCAGAGACATACTCTGATCCCAAGACTTACAAAAAACAAATTTGATAAAACATAATCAAATATAGTAGAATATAAGGAATACTTCCCTACGATATAAGATAGCATAAGTCTTCAGCATCTGGACTAACTCAACAGAACTTCCATCTTCAGATCTTTAGAATTTGTCTTCTCTAAGCGTCGTATCAGAGTCATATAACTTCAGAATCTTCTAAAGCATTTTCTCTTGATCTTCAACACATCTGTTTATCTGCAGATGAAAAACTCCCCCTGAGTTTCAGACTGGGTGAAAATCAAATATCCTGACTTGTGAACCTTCCTGGGAGAACTCCCCCTGATTACAGTATGTCAGATATTTGGATCTTCTGATCTTGATACAGTCTTGATTCTTGCATTCTCAGACTTGATTTCTTCTCAGATTTTTGATCTCTTTAAGCAGTCTGATACCAATAAAAACCAATAGAATGTTTACTTCTGAATCTGATTCCAATATTGAATTTGAGTCTGATACCCATGTTGGTTCTTAGTCTGACACCAATACATGATACTCATAATTCTGATTCTGAATCCAAATCTTGCTTTTATGAAGATTTCTGATTCTTATGCTCTGATTATCATATTCACAGACAATTTACATCTTTTGAACATTCTGATTCCAGATGACTTTAACTTTAAGATCTCTGAACAGTATTGGGTCCATCTGATTCTGAATCTATGTTCACGAAGTGTATAACTTCTATTATATGAACACCAGTTCATTTGAGCTCATATTTCTTTCAATTATCCTGTTTAGAATGCCTAGTGAACTTGTTCAGAGTTCCTCGGAAAAACATCAAACACACATTTAGTAATAAACACAGTTTATATGTTTTGCATTCTCTTTCAGGTTATAGAATATATCAAAGTTATATTCTATTTCTCCAAAACGTTTTCCATTTCTCCCCAAGTTATATTAAAAACATCTTTCATTTCTCCCCATTTCATTTTCCCTGTTATATACTATTATTCTAGATTATATCAAAATCATCTTCATTTCTCCCCCTTTTTGACATCATCAAAAAGTTAGAGTTTTTCAACAAAAAAAAATAGATTTTAAGAAAAATATTTCTCTCTTTTTAATGTCAAAAATTAAAAAGATAGGGGTTGAGAGATAGCATCTGAGAACTTAATCATCTTTCATTTCTCCCCCTGAGAACTTACTTCTCACAGATTGATACCAATAAGGTAGGTTGATATCTTTTCCAGATTTCATCTTCTATATCTCCC